TAACAATTTTTTTAAAAGATAAAAATAAATAAATGTTTGTCACTTAAATTTACTCAAGTAACTTTTTTTTTTTGATAGGGAAGGCATTCAGATAAAATACACATTATAGCTTTACATTTTGTTTGTTTTATAAATTTGCAATATTAATATTAGTTTGTAAGGCAAATTTTGCTGAAGAGTCAAGAAAGATGATTCAGATAATTACCTTTCCACCTCCCAAATTTGTAATGATTCTCATATTCAAAAGTCTGATTGATACAATGATTCTGAGAGGTCCTGGAGCGATCAGCTATGACTCTACCTTTTCATCATGGCAAAAGATAAGATTTGTTTTGCTGTGCATTCCTTAAAGACAAAGATGTCTTTCTCATCTTTATGTTCTTAAGATCTAGTTATTGTAGATGCACAAGAAATGCTGGTAAATAAGTGATAAATACATAAAACCATAAAGGCTCTTGGTTAAATGATAACTACATACAGAGCAAGTTGAGAATTAAGACATAGTCTCTATTCATAAATCTCATTTAAGTATTCATTTATTAAATAGTCACTGTCTAGTAACTTTGAAAACCTTTAAAACTGCCAAGAACACGCTTGCCAGATCTTTAGCCTCTATGCTTTGCCTCCTTTCCCAACACCTCATTGGATTATTATAAGAATTGAATGACCCAATGTTACGAAAGTATAAGCCAGTTCCAAAACTTTTTTGAGGCTTGTCTTTCCCATGTCTTACCCACTTCACAGGAGTGTTTGAAGATGTAATATGGAAGGCTGTGAGAAGCATAAAATGCAACAGAGATATAATTGAAATGTAAGTCCTCACCACTGCAAACATTAAGGATAAAACCCTAAAATTACTGTGAAGTTATACGTGGTGAGAAGGCCCTGGCCACGTGGCTCAGCTGGTTGGAGCATCGGCCTGTATACCAAGGTCAGGGGTTTGATTTCTGGTGGAGGCAAGTGATGGATGTTTCTCTTTCTCTTTCTCTCTCTCTCTGTGTCTCTCCCTCCCCCTCTTCCTCTCTCTCTAAAAAATCAATTAAAAAAATATCCTCGGAGGAGGATTTTTAAAAAATGGTGAGAAGAGCATTCTTTCACCAACATATTTAAGTCCAAAAGAAATAAATTCATCAGACATGGTGTTAGGTTTATAAACACCAACATTTTTTTTTAATCCTCATCTAAGGATATGTTTATTGATTTTAAGGAGAGAAAGAAGGAGGAGGGAGAGAGAAAGAAAAACATCAATGTGAGAAGCATCTATTGGTTGTCTCCTTACACACTCCCAGCCGTGCCCTGATGTAATCCAACCCCAAAGCTTTTTGGTGTGTGGGAGGACATTTCAACCAGCCGAGCCACCTGGCCAGGGCTTGACTCTGACATTTTAAAATAAATAGGAGTTACTCTTAGAGTTGCCTCATTCTGTATGTTATCTTTATTTTTTCCAATTTTATTGAGAAATAATTTACATATATCACTCTATAAGTTTAAGGCATACAGCATGATGGTTTGATTTACACATATTGTGACATGATTTTTTTCTTTTTTACTGGAGAAAAGCTAACGCATCTTTTCCAAGTATGACTTTTGAGGTCCACTATTTTTTTAAGTATTCAAACCTAAAACTCCAAATAAGTACATCTATATTCTATTTCACTTCCAATCTGTTCCATATTTAGTTGTTATAAGCTGGTAAGCTTTTTGTTTGCTTGCTTTTGTTTTGTTTTGAACTATATAAGAGGCTGCTTCCAATGAAAAAATATACTACTATTTAAAACCACTCATGATTTGGACTGCCTAGACACTTGTTTCATTAAAGTACTCTTGTGCTCCCTCTGCTGCCCTGAAGGAAGCCTTCACATTCAAGGCCCAGCACCTTCCTCAGAGTGTTCTCTTGATAATGATGATGCAGATTTGTGCATAAATCACAGCTCTTCTGAAATGCAGTACGACTTAACCAAAGCATAAAATGTAATAATTTTTCATTAAAAATTAAAAATTAATAAAAGAGGGAGGAAATAGAAAAGGAACAAATAGAGGAATTAAGTTCTGAATCTGTGGCCAAATTTATTCATACAGAGCCCTTGCAATATAGACAGCATTCTTCACACTACTGTGCTTAGGAATCACCCAGGGGTGGGTTAAAGGCAGGTTCTGATTCAGTAGGTCTGGAGCAGACTACTCATTCTGATTGTCTCAAAAGCTCCCAATTGCTGCTGCGGTTCTGAAGACACTTTCAGATGCAAGATGTAATGATGTAATATATATTTTATAGCCTATTTGCAACCTTCAAAAGTGGATACTACCAAAACAGTGAAACAGTTATAAGGGATGAAATGATTTTCCATGGTGTTTGATCAATGCAGAACACAAAGCTCAGCAGGCCTTGTTTCTCAATTTCCTTTATTTCAAAGTTTGACTATGCTTGTACAAATATAGTATCAGGTTTATGAATAAGACCACAGTGCTACATATTTGCTTACTGGCCTCCTGAAAGCTCTGCTCTTGTTTCATTGAGTTTTTATTTGCATGAGAGATTACTGTTTTTAAAGAATCAGTACCAGTTATTTGTGATTGTACATTTACTCTTTTGCCATCTGAAAATAAAACATTTCAGTGCTAAAGGTAATGAAAATGTATCATGAGTATTATTATGTTCTTGCAGGTTGGACCTTGCAGGAAGAAATAGTTACAGATTTTAATGGCAGTTTATGGCTTTAATCTTAATGGCTAAGAAAGTAAATGACGTATTTCTTATTAATTGTTCTTACTGCTTGGGTAATATACATATTTAGCTTCCTTGAGGGAATATTTAAATTAATTGACTAACTCTAATCTGAATTACGTGGTTTAAGGTTTATACAATAACTTAATTGCTTGTGCCAATGCAATAATTAAAATATTAGTTCTTTTTTTTTTACTGAAAATTCTCTAAATATAAGATGTCTAAAAATAGAGTGTAGGTGGATTGGACAGTCTGCAGATTAGAAGTTGGAATAAAAACATCTCAGTTAAGCCAAAAACATGGCAACCAATATTTTCTGTTATAAAAATATTTTAGATGAGTTTTTATGAAAACTGTCTGAAATGGAAACGAATAGCAGAAGCTCTCTGTTTATTCACAGGCCAGTAATAATAATACCTGCAGCATAAAGCATACATCTTTTCCGTGAAGAGCTAACAGCTTCTGCTCCTTTCAGAAGCTGGCTCTGCAAAGTGGGGGAAAGAGATACTACCCAGTTCTGTCTGAGGTATTAACCTTAACCTTGATAATGCTTGTCAAGGAACACAACACTATGAACAGCCTTTTCAGGAAACTGATTTTAACTGTCCACTAGAGGCTGTAATGAGACCAACAATGTCATTTTAGACCAACCCTGGGCTTAAACTGTAACAGTCGCTGATTTTTAAATGAAAAAAATGTTGTAGAAACGAGTAACAGTGAACAGTAGTAGTTCTATTTAAATAGCCATGTATATGTATATGGTATTTCAAAATGTGAGAAAAAAATATTTCCGGGGCTCTACACCTTCATAGTTGTTATGCAAATTTTTACATCTGTAGCATGTTGTTTCTACAATACGGTTGTTTAAAAGCTGACACATTTCTCTTGGTGATTTTGTATCCTGCTTCGGTTGGTGACTAACCGTTAGGTCATAAGTAAACTCAGCCAAAAGGTTTCTCAAATAAAGCTTACAGTCAATAGTGGTGACTTCCAGAGACAAACTTACTTGGAGGGGTCATGTTTCCAGACACTTAGTTCTAAGCACCTGAAGGAGGTCGAATGCTGCCCCGACACCTACTGGTCCTCCGGAATTATCTGCAGCAAGGGGGAACGCCACACTAAGCTCCCTTTAGCATGATGTGCCTTCTCTTCCTCCAGGTGCCACACCTGTGGGCAAGGTGCACCCCTCGAAAGAAGATTCCTTCCCACCCAACTAACACCAGGCGGTGGTGGTACATGTGGAGGGGGCGGGTGTTGGGGAGTAGAGAACCGCACTTAAAAACTGAGTCCAGAGGAAGTTCTTCAGCATGGATTCACCGAGAACTGCCATTTGATGCTCGGTTTGCTTTCTCTATCTCCTACACTAGTTACCTCATTTCCGATTAAATTAATGATCCCGAATTAGCTGCGAGAGGAGTACGGGAGTAGTCTACCAGAGCTAGAGCTCGGTAGTCCACGCCCACGGAAGATTTCGGGACCTGCAAGAAGAGAAAGGAGGGCAGGGAGGTCACCGGCTTTCCCAGGCAGTAAAGGTACGGGTGCACGTGCAGTCGGGTGGTACCCTTAAAACTTTCTAGAGTTGCAAGCAAAGGCACTCCCCCGCCGCCCGGTGGTCCGGTTCCTGGAACGCTGAAGCTAAACCGGAGTGAGGGTGAACGTGCACGACTATCGCAGTCGTCTTGGACGCTTCTCGGCACGTAGAGATCGGCACTGGCCCGCCTCCCCTCCCCCTGGGCTACTTCACTGGTTCCAAGCCAGGGAGTCCTCCAAGGTGCCTGAGTTGCACCCTGCTGTCGTTCTGTCCCCTCCAACTAGATGCAGGGACCCTGGGAGGCGCACGAGGACCGATCGGTCACCGCTACAATTACCTCATCGCCTGAGCTCCCCGCCCCTTTCCCAAACCTGGAAGAACTGTCCCCTCTGGCCAGTGTCTCCCCTCCCGTTCTCCGCCCCTGGATTCCAAGTCAGTCTTGGGGGAACGTGCCAACCTACCGGAGGGCCGCCGAGCCCCGGCCGCGCGCACCGAAGGGTTAAGGGCGCGGGCCGGCAGCTCGCCCTGCGCTCGCCCGGCTCGGAGCCGCTCGCCCCACAGCCCGCCCGAGGGTGGCCCCCCTCCTGTCGGATCCTTGAGCTGCGGCGGCGGCAGCCAACTGCTCCATATTTGGCTTCTATTACACATTTACATACTGGAGCGAGCGAGCGAGCGCGAGAGAGCGCCAGGGAGGGAGGGCGGGGGGAGGAGGGAGGGGAGGGGAAGAGAGTGTGGGGGGAGGAGGAGGAGGAGGAGAGAGCAGAGTATACCGCAGACATCATTTCTACTACAGTGGCGGAGCCGTACAGGACCTGTTTCACTGCAGGGGGATCCAAAACAAGCCCCTTGGAGCAGCAGCCAGAGCTACAGCAGCCGCAAGACACTGTTTCTCTCCCTCTGCCCCCCCTTCCCCACGCCACCCCAGATCCATTTACACTTTACAGTAAGTGGCGATTTTTTTTTCTCCTCTGATTCTGTCTCTACCCTCCCCCATCCCCTTCTCCCCTGATTTAGATTAAGATTCCCTCTACCCCCGCTCTCCTGAGATGGGCCAAAGCAACAACCAGCAAACAAACCCCAAACCCCAATCGACAGCACGGAAAACAGCTTGAAGAGGAGCGAAGGAAACCGACGCGGCTTGTTGTGTTGTTTGTGTGTGTGTACATACAACCTTCCCCGGCTTCAGCCTCCCGGGCCGACACCCCGCTCCGGGCGCGGGGATGGCCGGCAGGGGTAATGCCGGGGACACGGTGGGCGCCAGCGGAGCGAGGGGGCGCGCCCGGGCTGGGGGCGCGGGGGTAGAGCGCGGCAGCAGCGCCCGGCTCGGGCGGCTGCTTGGTCTGGCCGCGAACGCAGAGGGTCATGTCCTCCTCCCTGGAGGTGGGGTAAAGGGAGGCGACGGCCGCCTGGGTCGCGCTGCCCTCTGCTCCCGCGCCCCCTCCTCACCCCTCTCCCCAAAGAGGGTGGTGGGAGCGAGCGGATCTGGAGGAGGGGCTAGGCTGATTCGCAGGTGGCTGCCTGGCCTCCGGGACCGGGGGCTGGGGTCTCCTCGCGGAGGCCGTCCTCGCTAGGCGTGCGGCGATGGACCGGGAGGGGTCAGCGCCGGCGCCGGAGCCGGGACACTGCGCGCGGCCGGGCGCAGGCGGTGCGAGCGCGGGGAGGGGGGGGGAGCGGAGGGATGGACGCGGGGTCGAGGTGCTGGGAGCGCGGCCGGAGTGGCGGTGGCGGCCCTGTTGGTACAGCCGCTTCCTGGTCCTGTGCTGCCGCCGTGCTGCCCGGAGCCGGGAGCCAGTGAGCGCCCCAGCCCCGGCCGGCACCCCCGCCTGCGCCGGCGGCGAGAGCAGAGGAGCGGCGGTAGGCGCTGCCCTGCCCCCGCGGGGAGTGAACGGCTGCGCGGCTGCTGGGAGGGTGAATGAAGCCAGGAGGAGGGGAAGGAGGAGGCGGCGGTGGAGGCGCTGCGGGGATTGGGATGCGCCTTGGAGCTCCGCTGCTTGTTCTCTCCCGGCCGGGCCGGAGACACCGCCACTCCCGCGGCCGCCGCCTCCTCCTACGTGGTCCCAGCGCTGCTTGCAGGCCGGCCCCGCAGGGGGCAGGGAAGGGGCCGGACGGGCGGAGCGAGAGGTGAGGCGGTGGCGGAGCGCGGCGGGAGAGTGATTGAGTGAACGCGCGAGTGTGAGTGCTTGTGTGTGTGTGCGTGTGTGTGTGTGTGTGCGCGCGCGCGCGCGTGTGTGTGCGCGCGCGCGGGGGGGGGGGTCGACAGGGGCCGTGGCGATGGGGAGAGGGCCCTCTGAGGCCACTTGGCTGACTCTGCAGCGCCCGACCCCTCCTCAGCCGCCCGCCCTCAGACAGCCAGCCCAAACTCCGTGGCTTGTGCTTTCATTTTATTTCAGACCACGTAGGGGGCTGACTGGAAGCGATGAAACAATCCAGGTTTTCTAGAGAGATTGAGCAAGAACCTTGATTGGGGGTGAAAGTAGAGTGGTGATGGAGATCCTGCCAGAAAACAAAACAAAACAAAAAAAAAATCGGCCTCTAAGGATAGTGGGGTTCGATTCAATCCCGGGGCGGCTCTGTTTTGTTTTGCTTTCTTAGTATATAATCCTACAGATGAGAGGGTAATATAAATACTTCGGAAGATTGGGAAATTGCTGAAGAGTAGTAAGGGCAAAAAAAAAAAAAAAAAAAACCCAAAAAAACCCAGTCGGAAGCTGGTTATATAATGCGCGATGTGGCTAACGAGAACGGCAAGCTATTTTTATTTTGTTTACCGTATGCTGTGCAGTAGGGACTCCTCCAAACTGGTTCTGTCCCCGCAGAGGTTTTTTAGCTTCTCTGTGAGATCCACAGGATACAGTTAGCAAAATTAGAAGACCCCATTACACCCACAGAACCAAAACTAATCCCTTAGAGTGGCATACTCCCTGCACATCCTGTCGTGCATGCACGGGAAAATGTGTATGCAAATAAGTTCTCCTTTGGCAATCTAGTAGTCACAGCCCAATGACATTTGTGTTTTATAATATAGGCTGTTCTTCGTATTTAAACATCATCGTTACATATCGCACAGCAGAGGGTAGATATTGATGTTTATTTTTAGGCGCAGGTAGTTACTTTTCAATGCTGTTAGCTAAACCATTTCTGTTTCGGTTTTTGAGGAGACCTGCAGTTCCTAGAAGACCCTGTTAAAGCCCACTTTGTGATTTATTTGGTGGGCGAAAGAAGTTTCATACTTGAGCTTTCCTTTTTTTTCCTTTTTTTATCGTTCTGTTTCTTTTCTTTTCTTTTTTTTCTCTGGAATGAAGCATATTCCTGGGGAAACCACCAGAGAGGAGGATGAGAAAATCCTGCACATGAACTCGAAGGGATTGCACCGTAACAGCTAATGCTGTGGCATTTAAATCTCCTCTGACTGCCCTCTGTGTATGCATCAGTCACTGTTTTAACAGTTCCACAGACAAATGGGCTTAAATGACCCCTTCTGCATAAAGCAGAGGAAGAAGTCTCCCTTGAACCTCCTGCCTGCCTGCCTTTCTCCTCTTGTAGATATGGTCAGTGGTGTAGGTTTTCGGTGCACTTACTCCAACCCTGATCACTCATGTAATTAGATCAGGCTGCCATGGCAACAGGCAGTGTTCCTCGTCCATTCAGGTGGGTTTGTTTTGTGCCTGGACTATTCTAAGTGTCTATGCACAGTATTTGTGCTGCCCAAGCCAGACGAGAGACTTCACTATTTCAATTGCGTCTTCTTTCAGTCAACTGGACAGAGACGCTGAGTGAGGCTTCTCCATACTCTTACAAAGGAGACCAACAAGCTGTTCTTACTGGGTGCACTATGTAAATGCCTCTCCCCAGACAGTGAAAGGAGCCCGACAATCCTGCTGGTGTTTATTGTGAACAGATCAACAAGTATTTGGTACTTGTTAGAAACCTTTCAGAGCTGACTAAAGCAACATTTCTTTTGCGTCTGGTGCCATTGGCCTTGCAGGCAGGCACTTAACTCTTTCAAGTGTGAAAGTGCTCGTCCTTTAGAACCTAAGTTTGCCAGTAGTCATGACTGGTTTTCTAAATGGTTTGTTAAGTGGGAGTAATTTATTTGGGAAGGCTATCCCCATTGTCACATTTTAAAACTTTACAGCCATCATAATGGGGGGAAAAAAGTACTGATAGTAGGCAGCCATTCTGAATTTATTTATTCTTCATTTGGATGTTTGGCCATGATCTTTACATCTGTGCCAGTACGTTAAAAGGTTTTTGTCTCAGGAAAGAGATAATACAGGCCTGTAGCTGGTAGACTAATAATGTGTGGTGCTTTTGCACAATAAACAACTTCTATTCTATTTTGGGATATAATTTAATGAGCATTTAATAATTTAGAGAGCAGCAGTCTACTCTTTGCATTAGGACACCACCTTACTAAGCCTGTTAAGCAAAGAAAAATAATACTGTTACAAAAATAAAAGCTTCGGTTGAAGCTCTGTGTTGCTCAGGGAATCCAAATAAAGGGAGATATTTTAGTAACCCTGATATTTGAAAGTAAAAATAATTGAGAATAATCATGCCTTGATTTAGTTGCGACCCGGCCAGTATACAGTTTTACAGCCCCCTAGCTAAATTGGTTAAATCTTTTCTTTCCCCTGGGGCTAGGATTGAAAGAGCTTTATACTTAGTTGAGGCTAGGAGGTGGGCTATGAATTTCTCCTAGTGAGTTTATGTGGTTGATAACTGGATTGTGACCTGCTCAGATCAAGCACTGCAGTGATGAAAACGAGCTATTATTACTCCCAGGAGGTAAACAGATGGGAAGCAAGGATATAAAATAAGGCACAGAAGTGTAAGTTTTACACGAAACCTTGGAGGTCCTGGATGATATTTTGCAAGAAAATTGTTTTTACTTGCACTAAAATGTGAACATGTATTTTTGAGTGCTCAAATTCATGCTAAAATAAAGAGGAAAAATGTACTTGATTGGGAACTGTGAAAGTTAATATTTTCCTCTCTGGATTTCGTTTTAAGAGGGTTTGGTAAACAGGGTGATTCTTTTTCAGAAATATTATAAATTGGCTTCAGGGCTTCTCAGTTGTCTTTATTCTTAGAGAAAGGTTCGAGAAAAACTCTTTAGCTATCAGATTATACGTCACATGCCTGTAGATGGCCCTACGTTTCAACATACCTTACTCAGTTGTCTGGGAGTCCTGGGAAAGGTCAGCCTGAAGAGATTATTAAAATGTTAGTCAACACAGTTCTGTGACTCCTGTTTTTATTATCGTTACAGAGTTTAAGGACTCACATTCCTTTTGTATAATGTGCCATTATTTATTTATTTTTCCACTCTGAAATTTCAAGTGGATTTTACTTTGGCATCTACCTTCAATGGCAGTTTCTGATGACTAACACATTGTGACACCAGCTCCTTTGTTTCCTATTAGAAGTTAGTTAATAAACATACTTTACTAAAACCCTGAAATTAGGTAAATGTAATTCTTTCAACTCTAGTTGTCTGAAAGTAATGCATAGTTTAGGCTCTGAAGAGCTTAAATACTTGCATATGTTAAGTGACAGTGCAGCAAGATGGAATATCATTCTAAAAATGGGGAAGGTAGCTAATTTTATTTCCATTGCTTTATGTTTTCAGAATAACCCAATAATTTGAATGATTGGTTTCTGTGAGAGATTTAGATATGGGCAGTTTAATTGCTTCAAAGGACAGATTTAGTTCCCATTATACTTTCAAAGTTAGCAAGAGCAGGCCCTTCTTATTTTTTTTAAAAGCACTGAAAATATTTATAAATCATTGAAATCCCAATAGAATAATTTCTGTTCTAAAGCATACATACAGGGCTGCCCTGTTTTTTAAAGAATGAGTTCGGAAAGCAATTGAAATCATGCTGTTTGAATTTTAGAGTCATTAAATTCAGTTTAATAAAATACTCATTCAAACATTCTTTAAGAGATGATATAAAAATGAGTATACCAAGTGCTAAGTTTTAGGAACTATTTTTGAGTGTTAGCTGAAAGAGTTGTAATTGGATCAAGTTTTAAAAAAATATATATATAAATGCTTAACAGGAGTAATAGAAAATTAGATAAATAACCTTTATTTGTGGAAACAGTTCTTTAAAATCTTTTTATTATTTCATAATTACTTTTGTCTTTATTAGTGTATATATTTGATAATCCTTATAAATCCGAACTTTTCAGGCTCATGTACAATAAATATTTGTACTACATATTACCATCACAAATGTGCTAAAACATGTTTAGCACTGTTACAGACAAAAAAGCAACAAGCATTATATTTTCTTTGACATATTTGATGTTAGCAGAAATGTTTCATTGATTTTTCTATAACTTTTAATGCATCCCATTTGTGGAGTAATGAAAATGCAACGATAATTGCCATAATGTAAGCAAAAATTGTATCATACCTGAAAATTACTTTTCAGAAACTTCATTATAGTGTAATCAGAATTTGAGACTTAAGGGAGCAGAGGCTCTCCTGATTATGGTGTTTTGATTCAGGCTAAGAGGAACCCCCTTTTTTTCCCCCCACTTAGGTGCTCTTTAATATGACATATTTTGAGGGAGTCATTTAGGAGAAGTTATTTTTTTAAACATTTAGGAGAAGTTTTTTAAAAAAAGTATTTTATTTATTGATTGATATTTAGAGAAAGAGAGGGAGGGAAATAGACAGAGCGGGGTGGAGAGAGAGAGAGAGACATTGATTCATTGTTCCACTTCTGCATGCATTCGTTGGTTGATTCTTGCATGTTCCCTGACCTGAACTCCAGACCCAACCTTGGCGGATGCTCTAACCCAACTGGGGCTCCCCAGCCAGGACCTAGCAGAAGCTTTTAATGATAATTGTCACTGATGCTGACCTATACGCATTTCTGCTTCTAGCATCCAAAGAAAGTGTATTTTTTTTTGTTCCTGTGCATGGCAAATTTTCTTTTGCATCTTTAGCTTTGGCCTACTCTCTTCGAAGTATTTATTTATCTCCTGTGTTTACATTATTTACACATTATCTCTTCTTCATTGACTAGCACATCAATGTTATTTAGGCCATCTTTCTTAGCAATCTTCCACTGTTAATGGTATTATGTTACTCTGCCGTGCTTTTTAAAAATTAAATATTCCATTTTTAGCATGTATCTTGTATAAAACAGCCTAGAGGTTATTTTCTTGTATATTGTTTGTATTATTTTGCAATGAATCCATTTTTCCTGACTCTTATTCTTTGTTACTTCTCTCTGATGGAATACAGAAAGTTATGTTAACTCTCTTAATTACTCTAACTGGTATAGCAACACAAATACTTTTGAAATAAGAAGCATACCAGTGAGAGTAAATTAATATTTTACCGCATTTGCATCATGTTTGACTGTTCTCTGCACTTCAGCAGAATAGGAGACTGTAATTTGGACTCTATAAAACCTTATCTGCCAGGTGATATGTAAATAGGATTGTGTACACATATCGATATACAGGCAAACACCCTTTCAGCTATTAGCTCTTAAAACAAGTGCTGCCTAAAAATCCGTGGTATCTGCACCTTGTTTGAAAATGATTATCCAGTATTCTAATGTTTCATTTGATGTTAATAGATGAAATCAAGACTCCTCCCCTTAAAATAAGTACTGTATAAGAACAAATAGAATTTTGTCAGTGTCTATTTAACTTGGCCACTATTTAAATTTGTAACTCAACAAGTTTTTTTTGTAAAGGGAAAATGTTTTCAAAGACGTTATTGTCTAGAATAGTTTATCTTCTTTTTCTGTACTCACAGATTACGCATGGTTAAAACAAAGGACTAGAAAACTAACTTATTTTGATTATCAGTCCCAGGCATTCGATAACATACCTAAATAGGTACTTGGTGAATGGATTAGTTAGAAGTAAGAATATTTTGGCTACTAGTCAGTACTTTGAAAAGTGTTGGAAAGCAATTGAAATTATTTTCCTTTCCAGCTGGGTTGTGCTCTTAAAAATAGTGAGTGTGTATGGATGAAAATAATCATGACTACTGAGATGTGTTGCCATGTACCCAAGGATAATTGGCTCACTTACCTGTTTACAGATTGTTCACATTGGAGATCATATTCATAGCTCCAGAATAGTTTCTTTCTGACGCCCCATATAATCCTGGGCCTTCTCCTTCCTACTGTTAACCTGGCATGGGCTTAGGAAGCCCAAACTAAATTTAAAATCAGCCTGAACAAATATGCAGATCAGCTCCAGTAATCAAAGACTGGAAATCAGGTCAGTGATGACTAGTTTGGGGATATTTTATAACAACTGTGCTACTGATTTTATTTAATGTGGACAATTGGGAATTACCTGTATTTAAAAAATACTACTTGAATAGATGGGGCTGAACACTATGTTAGCAGATCAAGTCCTCAACTTCTTCCATTTCTATGCATAGGTCTTTACCTCACAAAAACTACAAGCACCAAGCTCCCTGATGGAAAGGTATATGGAAGATTCATTCATTCTCTCTTTCATTCATCCATTCACACATTCACTCATTCATCATACAGTGGATAATTTTTACTTAACCATGTGCAAGGCATTGTGGTAAAATGAAAATGAAATAGACATACAGTTAATAATTAAAGCTTAGTGGAAAGCCTAGTGACTATGTGCATACTTAATTTTTTTTTTTTTTTTTACATTGGATACTTTTTTCTATCTCATTATACTGGTATGCTAATAATTGTGTTTTATCATGATTGTCCCTCAAGTTGCATGTTGATAGTAATATATGCCACATTAAAATCAGACTTTGGCTCGATTATTATTCAATCCATGCTCATTTTCACCTGATATTCTTGTGAGTACCAGCACGTGTTGACCAGATGATTGGTTAGAGTCATTCGAGAAAAGAATGACAGTAGCCGGCTCAAATGGGGAGACCGAACTCTTACTTTGGTTGAGGGGATGAGCTTTGTGTATGTTGGCCTCCCGCTGAGCCCTGTTGAGTAAAACCTGACTTCTGAGCTGGATGTTATCTATATAATTCTCATGAAACAAAATGCAAAATTTGATGTTCTTAAGAGTGAAGATTTCAGTGCATAGACATTTTAAGTGGAATTCTTTTTTAAAGCAATTTGTTCTGTTTTTCATTTTGATTTCTTCTCCTGCACTTTCTGGACCACTGCAGGAGCATCGTGCAGCAAATCACCAGGGTGGTCCATTTAAACTGCAGATTTGTCTGTCATCCTTGGACAGCAGTCTCGTCCTCTCCGGCCACTACAGGGAAGTGCATCACGTATCAGGTGAGAGTTTTGCGATGCTCTCTAGTTCCTACCTGAGGATAAAGTCTGACCTGGGAAAATCGGTTACTAGCCTTGCTTTAGTGCTTTGTGGGCTGTTTAATATAATTGTCTTTGCAAACCATATTGTGTCCGAAACTGAGAAATTGCCAAGAGAGTTTCTGTAAAACTTGGGTTAAAGTATCTCTCTTTTTAGTTTCATTTATTTGGTTAATGAAGAAGTCAATATTTGACTTTGTGATGATCGATTATTGCCTGTTGGGCTTGAGCCTGATCATTCTAATTGTCACCTTTACTTAATGCAACGAGAATGTTTTGCTACCCATTATCTTAAGGTACAGTTTGCATGTTTTAAGTTTTTTTTTTTTTTTAAGAGTGACACACATGTGAGGAGACAGAGGCCTGTTTGTTCAGTGGCAACCAGTATTTGTTGAATCTTGAATTTCTGTGTCTGTTTGGATTTTACAACTTCCTGATTTCCTCACATACAGTAAATTTTTCTGGCCTGGAAAGTCATGCAGACACAGGGTGTATGCAGGGTTGATGACTCATGGTTCTCCGTTGAAGAGAGGACAAGAGGATACTGGCTAAAGGAAGTCAAGAGAGATGGAAGTTAGACACAAGTTGGGGCAATAAGAGTTTGGGAACACTGGTATACGCAACCAAAGGCAATTGTGAAATAGATTCCCTCTTTCTGTTTGCCTTGGGAACAGTCCTGCTGGAAGCTGTGGAAATAGACTAGTTCAGAGTTTCCCAAGCCTGCCTGGGCAACAGAATCACCTGGGAGCTTTAAAAAAAAAAAAAAAAAGAATTTGGGACTCAACCCTAGACCTGTTGCATCGAAATGAACCTTTAATGGTCTCTTGGAAGCATACCGATTGATGCTGCCCAGGTTGGGGAACTGCCGGGTTGGGGATCTCCAGGCAAAATCCATGTGCTATTTTCTTACTTGATGAGATGCAAAGTCTACTCTTTACCAAACCTCACATATAAAGATAGGAATTTTCAACTAATTTTTAAGAGGTATCTATTTGCTTTCCCAAAATGTTCATATTGAAAATGATTTGCCAGCTCCCTCTCTTTCCCTAAGATGCAGCTTTTAAGTTACATATCAATTTTGTGGCATCTGGGAGAAGAGCATGGGGCTTGGGGGCCAGCCTGCCTGGATTTCTATCTAGTGCTGCCACCGTGACCTTGGGCATCCTAGATCCTTTCAGCACCTCGGTGTCTTCATGCTGAAAATGGAGATAATATTAGAACTGTCTCCTAGGGCTGCTGTGAGGATGGAATGGAATAACATACATGTACTGGGTGTAGGCTATTGCCTGGCATACAGTTTGTGATTCAGGAGCACAAGCTATCATTGTGATCAAGTAGCTTATGTCTCGATAGGGTAATTTTAATGTTCTTGTATTGTGATGGTTGCTCCTGGGCTGTACATGATTAGGAACAAGTGAATATACCTGTATGTTGGTCTTTTATTGGCTTTTCTGAATTTTGTGTTCGTCCAACTCTCTTAGTGTTGTAGATAGAATATGTATGTATCGTTTTTATGTTGTTGTAAGATGAACTGATGAGTTGCATGTATAAAATAAGTTATGTGTGATCTGAATAAAAACAAACAAAAACCTGAGCGACCACAAGTACTGTGCCCCTGAAAGGAGAGTCAGAGAAGTCTCTAACAGAGGGGCAGGGAAGAAGAGGGAGGAAGTTATCACAAACAGCGCATCCTTGTGGAATTTGGAACAGGGTACTTTACATTTTATTGGCTGTAGGTTAGGAAGGTGTTCCGTGAACGGGAATAGAAAAATCCCAGAGTTGCGTGCAAAGGTAAGCCTCTTACATCTGCATCAGCTGAATGAAAACGGTGAGATGCCTTACTGCTACTTTATCTCTTAGGGTGTTACGCGGTCTAACAATTACATGTGAGGCAGAAAATCCTCACATTTTAGATTTTTGGGAAAGTAGTTTAATTGCATATGTGGTTAAAACATACGCAATTTTTAAAAAACCTGTGATATTTAAAAGAGGATTTTATTGTGAAAATACAGGCATCAGAAAGTCCTATGTCTTGGACAGTATGTGCAAGCTTATTGAGATGAGACCGAGGTTTTTATAGTATGTTAAGCAAGTCTAAGTGGCTTATGAATACTCATATTGTATTACTGACAAAATAGTGCAGAGTCACCTTGAATTTTAAGCAGCTGACATTTTCCGTGATTGCATTTAAAGAAAGCTTATAAGCATTATTTAAACATTTTGCATAAATAGGGCCTTGTTAAAGTCCTCACAATCGATGACTAAACGTGGGCAGGGAAATAGTGTCATTCATACTGTATTATATTCATTAAGGGTTTTTTTTTTTAAAGAAATTAAAACCTAGGTTACAATTATTCCTGGTTCTAGTTATTTTCTAAATAAGATATGGTTATAGCAAAGTTATGACCTAACTTGTTCACAGGCACTGTCTATATAAAGAAATGATTCATTCATTTATGCACTGTGTGTTTTTTAAACTTCTCCACGGTGCTGCGGGAATGAAAGTGAGTAAGAGCCATCCGAAAGAGGTTATACTGTACGTAGTCTCTGTGGTCAGGTCGTGGAAAGAAGAAGTGCTGGGAAAGAACTAAGGCGAAGCGGAACGGGGTGGGTTGTACTTACTGGGGTACATTCTGGCACAGAAGGAATTCAGAAGAATGATGCTGAGTAGGATGATGAGGGAAGACTGAGGAGGAGGGATCATTTGAGTTCAACTCTGAAGGCTGGTTAGCATTTCTGTGGGGAGAGATGAATAGAGCAGGAGGAAGACCACTGAGGTGGCTTGGGCGTGACAAGGAAGCGCATGGTATGTAACTGACAGGGCCATTTTTGGCTGAAGCACAGGTGCTGGTGGACATCTGGGTTGCTGGAGTCCGACAGACAGTAGAGGGTGTGGGAATAAAATTGCTGAGAGGTCGGGTCTGGAGATAAATTTGGAAGAGCCATTGGCATAAAAGGGATCTTTGAAATTGGGCCTTGGGCTTTTGTGCCTGGGAGAAAGTTTGACAGGCAGGAGGGGATGACTGTATTTCCGGGATAACACCAGCCGGCGTAGAGTGCGCAGGGAGAAGGGAGAAGGTAAGCGGCCGCAGATGGGAGCCGAGACGCGGGCGTGTCACGGCCTTTGCTTGCTGCCCCCGCACACCCCCCCACCCCCGCCCCCGGCCCCCAGGCCCGGGAGGGAGGGAGGGCGGGTGGAGAAGCAGCGTCGTGAGGCCTGGGTGGGTAATGGGGCGGTCTTCCCTCGGAGCTCAGCTCCGTGAAGTCTTGTTGAAACCTTTATACCTTTAAGACCTTTAAAAATATAGAAACTTGAGATAATTTTAGCTAAACCTGATATGTGTGCGTGCGTGTGTATGAAAATGAGTGCTGCTTTTGAAATTGAGCACATGCAGTATGTCTTTTCATTTAAACAAATGATCTTTCTATTTTCCTCTAAACAGTTTTATTTAGAAGATTTTCAGTGAAGCCTTGTATATAGTAACAACAATTCCAGCATTTTCTTTGATCTTTCCCTCCGTTGATTTATTCATCTCATGTGATATGCGTAAATCTCATTGTGCCATCTACTTGACTCTGGAGCAGTTGTTCATTTTTGTGGCAATTCATTTACTGTACTTGGAGAAATCACATTAATATGGATGTGTTTTATAACTTTAGAGGTTTTTCTGGAGGCTTTATACAGACTCTTTTAAATATGATACGCACATATAAACACACATTCACTAGGTACGGCTTTCTGAACAATCTGCCTTCCCAGTTGTACTTTATAGGAGAAAAAAAAAATAGAATTAGTGAGCCTTGGCTCTGGGGTGGGTGAAGAATCCTAAAACTGCTTGGCTTAAAATGAAGGAGAAAACTGGAAATGATCTGTTTGCATTGCTGTTAGTGGGCAGTGTTTTAATACAGTTAGAGAAAACTTGAGGATTATTTAAGATTTTTTTCTTTAACTGAGTTGTTAGGATGGGTTATCTCTGTTGCCCTAAATGACTCAGAATGAGGCAGTAACTCACTACCTTTCATAAAAGACAGGAAAGTTAGGATGGGAGCAAGAGGGATGGCGAAAACAACTCCAGGACAAATCACTCTGTGTGACAGTACTTAATCAGCACCTAATGTGTGAGAGGCTTTATGCCAGCTAGGCCGTAAAGGAAATTTAGAGAAGATCAAGTTCCCACTTACTGTGTATTAACTCATTTAATCCTCATTGTGGGCCTCCGAGGTAGGCAGATTATTATCTCTGTTTTGCAGATGAGGAGACTGTTGCACTGAGACTGTTGCCCAAGGTTGACCAGCTCTTAAGAGGTAAAGTCATGCTTGGATCCCGGCCTGTACTCTTCACTGCTGCCATGCATTGTCTCTTGAGTCTCAAGCCTGGTCAATAAGAAGCTGACAGTTGAGTCCAGAAGGCAGGGTGTGTCCAGGAGTAATATTTAAGGAACCACAACCGAAGTACAGCATACTCTCAGAGGTCAGGATCAGGGATTGGCTCGTGGGCAGTGAGCCTTCCTTTTTGACACTTGCCTGTGTGTTCAGAGTCACATGCAGGCTGAGTGTGTTTTCTTTTACTCTTTCTCATATTCCTACGCATTTTCAATAATTATTAATTGCAGAAAATGATGACAGTGGCAATATGCTTATCTGTGTTTGGGGTCCAAGTGTTGTTTGGCATCAAGAGTCCGGTGAGATGATGAACTTTTGACTCTTCAAAGAACTTCACTGGGTCATTGCTCAGCTTGCAAGATTTGGCAGATAGGAACTATTTATCTCTCCAGTTTGCTGGTGGTGGGGTGGCGCTAAATACAAGCTCTAAGATCAAAACCTGCCATGAAAGGAGGTCACGCTTTAGTCAAGGTGGCTGTCAGGCGGCTCAGACCTTCTATCCCCCCTCATCCCCACCCTCCTGGTTTCTTGTTGTCTCTCCTTCCCTGGACCCGTGGATGAATCTTAACTGACTCATGTCA